AGGATGGATGAAGGGGCAGGGAGAGCCAGGAAGAGGTGGGAGCAGAGAGAGAGAGAGAAAGAGGGAGGGAAAGGAGGGCAGAGAAAAGAATAAAGGAGTCTTTACATGTCTGTGGAACCAGCAGCTCGCAGCACTTTCACATAATTTAAGACATATGGACGTTATTAGGACAACTGTGTCTGTGTGCGAGTGTGTGTCTGACTATATCTGTGTGTGTGTGAGAGAGAGAGCACAGGAGTGAGTGTGTCTTTAAGCATGTGTCTTTGCGCTGCAGGCTACAGAAGACAGTCACGTTTTTGTGGTGCAGCAAAATGACTGTTGTATTGAACAATCCCCCACTACAACACACACACACACAAACTCCCGTCTTGTGTGGAACTTGGAACGTCCCAGAGTGACACTACATAAAAAACTGTGTTTGATTGGCAGCCAGAGAAACTGTGTGTGTTTCTCAACATGTGTGTGTTTGTCTGACCTGTAGTTACCTTTCAGAGTCTCCCGTCTGCCTGCTCACACACTGACTGCCTGACTCACGGGTCCTACAGTAGCTCAACCTTTCTGCTCTGTCTGTACTTAAAAGTGTGTGTGTGTGTGTGTGAGTGTGTGAGTGTGTGTGTGTGTGTGTGTGTGTGTTGGAAGAGACAAAGTGCTCAACCAGATTGACCAATTATGCATAATCCAGTGCAGACGGGTTAAATGGCTAAATTCACAATGTTACACAGCCTTATTTGGCCTAACTAGTGTTTCTGGCGTTCAGTCTCTGCTTGGTGTGTGTGTGTGTGTGTGTGTGTGTTTGCATGGTTTTTATTGCTGATTTTTCATGATGATTCACAAACATATTTGCGTTGCATGTACTGGATATTGTATATAAAAGATAAATGGAGCTTCTTGATTTAAAAAGTGCCTTAAACCTGAATTCTTTTGAACGGCCAGCAGAGGGAGATTCCACTGGTTGCGAAGAGATTTCGGGTAGCGTTGAAGGTTATTGGAAAATTATTTGATCTCCGACTCTCAGTCAACACTTTTCATATTCTTTAAGGTCTCAGACTTTAGCTTTCAGACTGACTGAGCACAATGTGATGTTTAAATTGTAAACTGTGGTTGTATCCATCCATACTTCTCTACATTAAGATATTTCCAGGACAGCTCAGAGATGTAATCTCTCTAGTTTGTCCTGGTCCTACCTGGGGCTTCATCCTGGTAGGACATACTTGGAACACCTCGTCTTACCAGGAGGTGTCCGGGTGGTATCTTAATCAGATGCCTGAACCACCTGAAACACATTCTTATCTGAAGGTATGCTGAAAACTAACAACCTAGTTTTTATAAGCAAAACCTCAGCATGAGGAGACATGATGAGGGCTGGTGGAAGTTTAAGGCACAAAGCTGCCAGCCAGAAGACTGTTGCATCCCCTTGGGGAGCTTTGTGTTTTGTGATTTGTTTTGCTCTGTTTTCATTCACTGATTGGTTAGGTTTAGGCACAAAAAGGACTTTGTTCGATGTAAGACAAAATGGCTCTGTTATAATATGCCCCTTCACAACAGCAGCCCTGCACATAAGCAGGGTACATGGCACTCAATGTGACACCGAGTTGTCTTGAACAAGCATTGATACGTGCGTAACACTCGTCTCATTATCGCCATGATTGGTGCGACACTGACAGCTTTGACAAATTTGACTTTGGCAGCGCTCGACACCATGGGAATGCGAACAGGCTGACCACAACCCTGTTTTACCACGCAACTTCAGCAACCCTCACGGGACAATCGATGTCATTATGAAAAGAGTGGAAAGCAGTTTAAAGATGCGCAATCCTTCGAATTTCATCCAAATCCAATCAGCGGTGTCCACTGTTTCCTGGGCAACAGACAAACAAATGACTGATTAATCCAACATTGACAGCCCTCAAAGTAGCAGACGAACAAAAGACGTCACTGCAGTTTCAGTATCTCAGGCTCTTTTGAGTTCAGATATTGTGTGTAATCTCCTGTGGTTGGGGTTGGGCAGCAGGTCGTGTAAGCTGATCTGTGACCAGCAGTCCCAGGGTGCGGCAGCAGAGGAAATGTAGTGCTACTAAGGTCTTAGAGGGCTCTGTGATCTGCACTAACCACTCCCTAACGCACAGCACATACGTATGTACCCGTACACTGCGCACATGTAACGCATGCACGCACTCGTGCACTCGGCACCAGCTCAGTGGACTATTGTTCATTCATTTTCAGGAGGGCGTAGGGAGGGAAGCAGACTTTGGAGGAATGAGAAGAGCGGCAGAAAATAAGAGGGAAATGAAGTAGAGAGCAAAATAAGAGTATGAGCGCCCAACTGATGTTTTGGTGGCTGAAACATCAACCTCAAGAACCACATGTACCCTCTCTGGCCTTGGTTCAGATCCCACTAGAAGCTGCTTTCTTCCCTCTCAATAAGTCAATGAAGAGAAACACTCCACACAGAAACACTCCACTGGCTCCTCCGGTGTGTTAACATATGGGAAATATATTCCAAAATAAACAATAAAGGCACTTTGTTTGTGCATATTTCAGTAAAGCAAAGAATCTGGACACAATACAGTTTTTACGAGCATATACTGTTATACTTAAAAAAAAAAAAAAAACTCTTTCCCCCATACAGACAACACTTGACAGCCTCCCCTGTACCCTTAATGATGAGTTTTGACACTTCACAATATCAATAAAGACGTGGTTTGACCACCATTAGAATAGTTTCCGGGTTTCTCCAAGGATAGCTGCATAAGCAGAGACCAACCTCACCAACTTTTGATGAACAACCAGTCATTTTGTTATGTAAAAAGCCCTGAAATATGACAGAAACCACTCAGTTAAGAAAAGGGTTTCAAAGGTTACTCCTCATCAGCTTTCAGGTGGTAACGAATTAAGGATGATTGCAGACAAAAGCCATTATCAAAGAGATTAAGCATATATTTTCTTTAACAACATGCTGCTATTAGAAACAATACCTATACAGGATTTTTTTTTAGCATAGATTAGTTTCTCTGCAGGGTCTAATAAAGGAGAAAGTCATAAAAAGAAACCACAGCGATTAAATAAAGCAGAGAAAAACCACAGACAAGTAGCAGTTGGAAGTTTGTATGTGTATTTTAGATAATAAAAACGAAAGCCATTAAAAAATAATAAAAAGCCACTTTACATCTGCTGGATTGGAGACATTTCCAAAACAACTGTAAGGCTTCAATGACCACTATTTATTAGAAGTTTTCCACTTCTAATGGAAACTCAGCTCATTCAGCTTTGATTTCTGATTCAGGAAAACCTATAAGATGTATTGATTAGAGGGTAGTCCAAATTAAATATGACAGTCTTTTTTTGAAGTCTCAGTGTGACCATTCTAATATCATTGTCTTGTTTTGGAGCCAGGTGTGATTGTTGAGTGCATAGACACAGTTAGTTACTACTAGGCAGAACAGTGTTTCATTATTATTTTTTTTATTAGTATTTTTATATAGTATAAAAATATAAAAATATTTTTATACTATATAAAAATATAGTATTTTTATATAGTATAAAAATATAAAAATATTTTTATACTATATAAAAATATAGTATTTTTATATAGTATAAAAATACTAGAGCGCAGACATGTCGGACAAACAAACAATATTTGCTTTAAAATACTCCAAATATGTTTGAAGTGTCCACTTTAGTTACTTGCATCAATGGATGTAAAGGATAAAAAGCCCCAACAAGTCAGCCATGCCTTGGTTAGATTAGGGAGCAATATTAAAAATAGTAACTGTGTACAGCTATTAAGAAGAGAGAAATTTTTGTAGCAGCCTGTGAACATGTTTATTTTTGTTGTAAAGTAGGAGCATTTTAATATGGGGCTCTATGGGCATTTACCAACTTTTGGAATCAGCCTCAAGTGGCCACTGAAGGAACTGCACCTCACTTCTGGCATATTCTTTTTAGGTGAAATCCTAAACACAGCTACAAAATTTGATTTCACTCAGTGTTTTGAGAAAATAATTAAGGCTGTTAACGGCTACAGTTCATCTGGTTCTAACTTTGTTTTTTCTTCTTCACTCATCTACACAATTAGGAAAATGTCCGACCGTTAAAGGAACAAGAAACTTATTAGTTCAAATAAAACTAAGCATGGGTAGTTGACTCATTTTAATATAAAAGCTTTATTCTAGTCGATTTCCATCTCCTTTTTCTCCTCTTCGGTGTTCTCCCCTCTAAATCATTCCCAAGACTCTTTCATGGGCAGTTTTGCACTTTAAATCTGATGGAATATTATTTGTCCAAACAACACTGACGACTGGTGACTGATTCATACTAAGAAATACTCTGCGCAGCCAGGAAAGAACTTAGCTCTTCCCCCTCTTTCTGTTCGTGCTCTTTCTGTCTGTCATTCTAGTTCTGCTGACTACAGGGGAAAAACCTCCACAATGTATAAGTCTCTGTAAAGACCAAGCAAGAGCAATAAGGAGGGAGAGACAGAGAGAGGGAGAACTTGGGGATAAATAAGGAACGGGAATCATAGAAAATGAAAAAAAGAATGAACACGTGATGGAAAGTCCAGCCTAGGTAGAATTTAGAAGAGAGAAGGAGATCAATGATTAGACAATTTAGAGAAATATGAGAGGCCAAGACAATGGCTACAAAAATACAGCCAGATGTTTTATCCTTTACCAAAAACCAGTTGTCTCTTTCATGGTCAACTGTAGAACTTTGTACCAAATTTCACTTGTAAAGTGCACATTTTTAGATGCCCTGCAAACCAAGAGACAGACACAAAACACCCCAATAAATTCCCAGTGAATACCAGCATTACTGCAGAATAAACTTGTGCTTCCTGTTGTCTTTTCACATACCTGTCAGTCAGGATTTACCGAGGGGATTACAACGTATAATCTGTGGACATTTGTCCTCTGTTTTGACTTGCACTTCTCCAACAGCTGGGCGCTGTTGCATTCTGCATTTGAGACTGATGTTATTTGCTCATTTCTCTGTCTCTCCAGGTGTTTGCCAAAGTGTTCAGCCATGAGGCCTTAGAGTCGTACCTTCCTAAAATCCAGCAGGTCATCCAGGAGAGTCTCAGAGTGTGGAGCTCTACGCCTGAGCCCATCAACGTCTACAGGTACGGCCAGGAAAGGACAGTGGAGACAGTTGTTAATGTAGCTAAAATCTGGGAGCAAGACTAAAACAGCGCTCCTATCCTAGGTGAATGCAGGTAGAAAGGTATTTATGATGAGTATCGCTGACAACACAGAGTCGTTATCAGCAGTGGTAGAAACTCAGAATATACAACAGTTCAAAAACACAGGCTGCTTCAATGGGCTACTAAATTAATATTATTCATCTGTCATTTTTCTGCAGGGAGAGCCAGAGGCTTTCCTTCACCATGGCTGTCAGGGTGCTGCTGGGCTTCAGGGTGACGGAGGAGGAAATGAAGCATTTGTTCTCAACCTTCCAGGACTTTGTTAACAACCTCTTCAGTCTGCCCATAGACCTGCCATTTAGTGGCTACAGAAGGGTAAGTGTATCATATGACCACTTCCTTCTCATTGGTATTTTTGGAGCTTAGTATATCTTTTTACATCTTAATGTCCCCAAAAATAAAAGTGTTTTCCCAACTGGTCACTGCAGATGGCTGCACCTCCCTGAACCTGGTTCTGTTCAACGGTACTTCCTGTTAAAAGGGAGTTTTTCTTTCCTACTGTCATCAAGTGTTTGCTCATAGGGCGTTGTGCAACTGTTTAGGTTTCTTTCTAATATTGTAGGATCTTTACCTTACAATAAAAAGCATTTTGGGGTGCTTGTTGCTCAGCTAAACTGAATTTGCATCAAAGAGGACATTTTAAGGGTAAAAGGACTTAATTTGTGCATTGTTGCAGGGTATCCGTGCACGAGACACCCTTCAGAAGAGCATAGAGAAAGCCATCAGGGAGAAGCCCATGTGCACCCAAGGCAAAGATTACAGTGACGCGTTGGATGTCCTAATGGAGAGTTCCAAAGAAAATGGCAGCGAGCTCACCATGCAAGAACTCAAGGTAACATACCTAAGCACAAAAAAACAGCCACCTGGGAAAGAGGGTAGGGTAGTGCAAGCATGCGCTGAAAAGAAGCCAGAACCACAAGAAGTCACTCAATCGCATGTAGAAGCACGTGGATACACACTGATTCGTATGGGTGCAAACACACATAGAAATCTCTATTTACCTAGCAGAGAGCTGCCAAAGGGAACCAGTCTAGGCTGACTGAAAACACAAACAGTCATCATAATTCTCTGACAAATCAGCCAGTGATCATAAGTACCAAACGGGGATAATGATACACACCCTAATGTGAAATATGAAAGCAAGCTGCGTTAATACCTATCGGCTGACAGGAACAGCATAACACACACATACACACACACACTCATGGTCAGGCACACCCTCTGTTTACCTATTAAAGTAATTCAGAGGAATTCTGTGGAAACTCGACTCTCTGCTTCTCTCTCGGACTTTGTGGTTTCTGGGTTAAGTCCAGGGCCAAAAATAAGTCAACACCCCCCCCCTGCTAGGGGTCTGAAAGAGGCCTCCTGTACGCACACACTCACACACAAATATTTAAATACACACACAAAGTGAACTGGGGAGGCCCTGTCACAGAGGCCCAGGCTGAAGCTTTCTCCTGCAGTTTTCTGACGCATGCATTTATAGCACACACACACACACACATATATATATATATATATATATATGCTGGTAGATGCGAGGAGGACCTCACTATTATTTATTCCACTGACTTAAGGCCTTAAGGGGCCCAGCATAGTGCACACTGAGTTTGTTATTGGATTTTACCTTCATATTTCCAAACACACTACTTTTCAGGAATTAAAAACACCATTCTTTTATTATGTATTGACTTTTGACTCCTCTCTCTCTCTTTTGGTCCAACATTGTTCCAAAACAAATGGCAAGCTTGAGGTGTGGGGTAATGGATTTGTGTCCAAATTTTGGTTGAGTTTGCACATAGCTCTGTTTTTACTCAGTGGAAAGAACAATTTTACATTTTTTAGAATAATATTCCTACATGCCGCTGTTAAACAAGCAGTTTCTGGGTTTACTCCTAGCTCAAAAAGACTATGAAAGACTACTGGTTGAGCATTTGGCTGATGCTCACCCTCAGCCTTCTTTATTTCCACTCTGCAAACTGTTTATTAAAACAACAAGCAATTAACCAATCAGAGATGAAATGAGGCTATAGTTGGCTTGCTCTCAAAGTAAAGACAAGTCAACTGATACACCCTCAGTACTGCCAAGTACTCAATGAATGCTTGTGATCATTCAAGAATGAGTCTTTACTTTCCTAGTTACTGTTGTAAATAGTGATAGGAACTCTTTTTCAAAGCTGTTTGCTATTCTATAAACCCATAAAACTTTTTCCCCCATGGGAGAAGATGAAAAATGTATAGGGTCGACTGATACCCTGGGAGCTCGGGACCTCCAAGGGGTTGCAAGATAAATGTGTTTTTCTGCAAAACTGTTAACCAAACAAGACCCAAGTAGTGCACTAATACACCATCGTATCTGTTTGCTGACCCACAGGAATCAACCATTGAGCTGATCTTTGCTGCCTTTGCCACCACTGCCAGCGCAAGCACCTCCCTTATCATGCAGCTCCTCCGCCACCCGCAAGTCCTTGAGCGCCTGAGGGAGGAACTGAGATCCAGGGGTCTCCTTCACAACGGCTGCCTCTGCCCAGAAGCAGAACTGAGGCTCGACACCATTATCAGCCTGAAGTACCTGGACTGTGTCATCAAGGAGGTGCTGAGACTCTTTACTCCTGTTTCTGGGGCCTACCGAACCGCCATGCAGACCTTCGAACTGGACGTAAGTGTCCCTAGAACAGTACATCCTTCACATCTTCATGTACCTCTTGTTGTGCAGCATTCTTGCCTTAACATGAATTTTCTTTTTTAATCAATGCTACTCAATGTCAGCTTTTATTTCCCGTTATATTTTTGTGCAGTGGTAGTTCTGTCATATCAAATCTACCCAAAAGGTCAGAGACTCAACTAGAAGAACCATCGAGTTACCATTCAAATGAATGGTGTAGGTGTTGGTTCACAACCTGCAGACACTACAAGAATCATTACAAGAGTACCAAGAGTCTCATCACACAAAAGGAGGGAAGGGGAGGTTTAGAGGAAAATTACCAAGGATGGACCTCTTTAAATAGCTATCTGTATTTAAAGAAGAGAGAACCACTGGCAATGGAAACGAATTTTGGTACAAAAAGTGTTCCAATGTCCTGATCACCATCACAGATGAATTCAGCAGTGAAACTATTTATGATGATTTTGACTTTATTTGCTTCTTTAATGTATTTGCATTCATTAACAATGACCACTGAATAGAAAAAGAAGGTCCTAGCCCACATATCTTCTGATACTCTGCACACCTGAAAAAAATGGGTGTTGCAGCCAGATGTTAAATCAACAGACTCTTTCCATTGTACACGTACAATGACAGCAATGGGCTATTCTATTTTATTCTATTCTATTCCAATGGGTTCCTGGATTGATCAAGGACCCTAAATGCTTCTCATATTGCTGTATTCTGGTATGAACAGAGAAAAGATGGTTTGAATATGGAAGAACACATATTAGCAGAAAAGTTCACAATTACTTCTTGGGGATACAACAACAGAAATCAGATTGTTATCCAAATTAATTGGTCATATGTGCTTATGGTGGCTAAGTGAACAATTATTTTTATGTGTGTTCATTGTTATGAATTCTGGTCTTTTGCCTCCAGGGAGTCCAGATTCCCAAAGGCTGGAGTGTGATGTACAGCATTCGGGACACCCACGACACTGCTGCCGTCTTCAAAGATGTGGATGCCTTTGACCCTGACCGCTTCAGTCAGGAGCGGAGTGAAGACAAAGAAGGACGCTTCCACTATCTGCCTTTTGGTGGCGGCGTCAGGTCCTGTCTGGGAAAGCAGCTCGCCACCCTCTTCCTTCGCATCCTGGCGATCGAGCTGGCCTGCACCAGCCGCTTCGAGCTGGCTACGCGGAACTTCCCCCGCGTGATCACGGTGCCCGTTGTCCACCCGGTCGATGGGCTGAAGGTTAAGTTCTACGGATTGGACTCCAACCAAAATGAGATCATGGCCAAGTCCGAAGAGCTCCTGGGAGCGACAGTTTAAAAGGGTGGAGGGGTTGATGAGTGGGGGTAGGGGAGGAGAGCAGATTTGTAAGGGAGAAGATTTGAGAAAGGAAGGAATACATTTTAGAGTTATCTTTTCCTTTCCACCTTTTTTTTCAGCCAAGAAGGAGAAGTCTTAATGTTATGCTACAGCTGATGATTTGGACTTTCCTTTAGGAAAGAAAGAAGCTGCCAAAAAAAGTTCTAGAGTTCTATACTATACAAAGAACTATACACACAAAAAGTATGTACAAAAAAAAGAAAACAAAAAAAAAGCTATGTAATATAATTTGAAAAAGAATGTGGGTAGTGCACAAAGTGAGAAAGAGAGTTGTGGTGGTACTTTTGGTGAAATGAAGTGTAGAAAAGTTAAAGATGGTTGTCAATGGGAGGCGAGATGGATGAAACAGGGTAAAGGACGAACAAATATGATATTCTAGCATTTATGCTTGTGCTTAATCAAAAAATGAGTGAACCATTTCAGTTGTATTGCAGGGTAAGAGAGATGGATATATAGACTTAAACATTTCAGGTTTCATGATCCTTTAGTCTTTTTCATTTCCTTCTTAGTGGTGCCCTCCAAATTTAATCCATGTCTTTTTAGTGTATAGTAGTGGTAGCTTTTTTTGGGTTCTTTCCAATTCAAGTTCTTTACTAGCACTCGGATGCACCCTAAAGGATCGTTGCACACTGGGTAGCAGGTTGTGCATCACTTTAGCTCTATACCATTAACTGTATGATGATGCAGTATATACTTTTGAGTGGTTTAAACTTGTACTGCTAATTAGTGTCAAGTATCAATGAAGAATGTATTTTAATGGGGAAGATACGCTGGACGGCTAAGTTGAGGGGCAGTACTCAAACCACACTGAAGTGATGTAAATGGGCAATTTGTTTCTTATGACAACATTGCCTTTCCTATCTGCCTCTAACAGTTTCCATATTACCTCCACTCGTGCACCATAAAGTAAAATAAGCTTCTCAAAGTACTAGCATCGCAAAGAAACACATACATAAAGGCTAAGAGCTGCAGAGCTTTTATCCAGGAGGGAGGGGGGATTTTAATGCAAAGTGCAGCTGCAATCACAGTAAAGAGAGGAACTAGGGAGCCTCAAACTCTTTGAGATATATCTTGAAAGAATAAAATCATGCTGGAAGGACAACGTGCTTTCTGGCTCTAACATTCCACTTAAAAAGCCCTAAAAATGGGAACTGAGTTCAAGAGAAGCTCAAAGAAAGCCTTACTTCCTTAATTCCACTTTGAACCTTGAGATTGTTTTTCAGGTTGCCTGTCTGCATTAAGTCAGAATCTTGCCCATAGATACAAATCCTCAATTATCTAAAAAGTGAATAAACTCAGGTGCAGATTAGGCACTATGGTGTAGAACTGATAAGCCTTCTTTAATATTTAACTATGACTGCACATAACAGGACTATCCCTTACTTGCCGCCGTAACTTCAGAGCTGGATTGATGTTTTTTGCCCAAATCAAAAAGAAGAAAAAAAGAAGATGAATCATGGGGTGAGCAACTTCAAACAGCAATTCTTTTTCTACTTGACATGTTACCCTTCTGCAACCATTTTGCATCCCCCAAAGCAAACAATTTTGTTGGTGGAAGCACAAACAACCGACAGGAATTCCCATTCGGCATCACACAAGATAAAAGCAATGGAATCCAGGTCAAAAGTAACGTGGTCCAGGTCTGCTTTGTAAATTCTCTGAACCTGTGCTTTGATTTGATTTGATTTTTTATATACCACACTACCAAGTTGCATTGAGATTGTACTCTCTCTCGGGTGGACACTTTGTCCCGCTAACAAGGAAACAAGTAACTTTAAGGACTTGCTCTGAGAGAGAGAGAGCAGTGAAAAAAAGAAGGGTAAGGCGGAGGTGGAGAGAAGTCCTACATACATGCTGCTTGAATGTTGCTTTGTCATTCTGCGTTTGTTTATTTGTGTGCTGTTTTTATTTGCGTGGCTCCCTGGGGCGGCCATTTTGAGCTCTGCGGAAAAAATTGACGCTCTGTCTTGCTGCTCCTCCAATCAACACTAAGAATGCAAAAACAAAAGTAATTCCACGGTATAAGCAACTTTATGAGCTGAAAGAGATTTATTGCTCGAGGTGATTGCACAATCAGAACTCTTGGAGATTTTTGTGTTCCATAATTGGAAAGGAACATCCAGTTCTTTTCCCCCATATATGGAAAGCTTCTAACAGCGGAAATCTGGGACTTGTTTGGGACATTCTGAGCTCCTTGGACAGAGTTCTATGTTTTGAGCTTGGGAGAGAAGGACCAATGAGGTTTTAGGGGAGGACAGGGTGGCACTCAGAGTTTTTTTGTTTATTTTTAAATAAAATTTGATATCTAATTGGACCATCCTGTTGTCCACTAACATTCCAGATGGATCCTGCCTGTGCCAGATGTTGTTCACTCTTTCTGCCAACCACACCACTGATCTCGTCATGATGAAAAAATATGAACGTAGATATTTTTGTTTTTGGTTTTGCTGCTTTTCTTGTGTACATTTTCTAATTAAGAGTTCTAGATTGCAATAGTTTGTATCGAGTGAGATTTGCTATTTCTTTCCTTCATGTATATATATATATATATATATATATATATATATATGATTTAGCTGATTAAAATATTTTGTGAAAGCAGAAAGAGCATTAATAGGTTATAGTGTATATTAATTTGTACAATATTCCTTTCATTAGCAAGCCATTGGGGAAAATCAGCTATTTACATTAACTAATAACCTAATATTAATGTTATTGTACAATTAATATTGTTGTTATAAGATATTTGAAATGCTATTTTTATTCTATTACAGATTTAGAGTTTTTAGGCTAAATGAGAAGGTCTTTGGTAAATATTGGATGTATTTAGAATGTTATGTATTTCAATTATATTGTAAACAGTGTTTAAAATGTTAATATTGATGATTTGATTACTGTAATAATTATTATTTGTTTTGTTATTCAGACTTATTATCACTGCATTTTATTTGATATTAATTATGGGAAACAAAAAAGCACTTGTGAGGTATGTTTTATTTTTTAAGTGCCATGCGACTACACTTCCTTTTTCTCTCACCTGTTGGTTTCTGAACCTGTCTTACGTCATTCTGTACATATTTGCCTTTCTTTATACGAAAAAAAAATCATTTAGGTTAAATATGAATGTCGTGTGCTACTTTCCTTGTTTTCTTTTTGTTACTATGATTGTTAAATATACTCCTGTAATAAAATATAAAGTGAAAAAGATATCTGAAAAGTGAATTTTTTGACCACTCTTTCTTTTGACTAGCAATCTAAAGAGAAACTGCAGTTTTTATTGGACAGCACTGTGTTACCTTCACAACAAGACGGTCCTGGTTTTTAATCCTGGCTGGGGTCTCCTTCACTGGTCCTTGCACGTGCTCTTTCTGGATACTCAATATTCCCTCATAGTCCAGACATGCATGTTAGCTTAATGGGTGTGACTGTGCAAGTAAATGGTTGGCTGGGTCTCTGTGTTAGGCCCATGCTAACCTGACAACCTCATCAAGGTGTAGGGTTGGGCAGTAATTTAAATGAATGAGAACTGACATTTTGCTTTTAAATTCTCTCAATACAACCTACAGTATGTACTCTCCCAGTAAATTTTGATATTTTAAAGCTAAAATACAATCATTGTCCCTATCAGAGATGGGCAGTAACGCGTTAATCTGATTCCTTTTTTCAAGTAATGAGTAATGTAACGGATTACTAATGCAAAAAAGCAATTAGAGTACTGCTACTTTCCCATGCTGCGTTACTGTGTTACTAAACCGTGATTTTGTTTGTGAAGTGTCTAACGACAATGATGTAAGCGCGTGCAACGTCTGTAGATCAACAATGGAGAGAGTACAACCATGTAGCGCTAAAAGCGTGGAAGTGCTTACTCTACTTCAAGTTTTATTCTGTAAAAAGTGACAGAAACATTAGCGTCCGCTGTACACTCTACGTGGGAAGAAAAGTTAAACTTCAAATCTGAGCAAGCACCGAGCAAGCCGCCACGGGAATGTGAAATTGACAGAGAAACCCCCGGATCCCTCCACTGACATGACCGCTGCGGCACTGGGCAAACCTCCACCTGCCCCACTCCTGCTAAACAGGTGAAAACAGATTTAAGAGAGTCAGGACTTAGTGTTGCTAAATCTTTGATTTTGTTTATTTTTTGCTGTTTTACTTGCATCTATTTGAAAGAGTGAGTGAAACACAAAAAAAATATTTCATTTTACATGCTGGAATATGCAGAAAATGGGTTTAAATATTTAAAAAGTGTATTCAAATGAAAGACTGTTGCTTATAATTAAATTTTTTGCTTGATGTGCATAAATTTAAAAGATTAAAACTAATAAAACAATTTTACAAAGAGACTTTTCCATTTGATTCAGTTTTATATGATAGATTATGCATAAAAAATAGAATTGGGCTGAAAGGTCTATTGCTGTATTAAGTATTCAGGTTGTGTATCATGTTTTTAAAAAGTAACTAAGTAATAAGTAATTAATTACTTTTGAAAATAAGTACTCAGTAATTTAATGGGGTTACTTTTTTGGAGAAGTAATCAGTAATAAGTAACTAATGACTTTTTTCAAATAACTTGAACAACACTGGTCCCTATCCATTAATTTTCAGATTTATAAGTAAATAATTACAGTTATTTATTTGCATTCCTGAAGAGAAAAAAAACATTTAATGGTTGAACATTGTACTTTATTACTTTCCGAGTTTTCAGTCCACTGTACTGGCTCAAGTTTAGGTATAAAAACTTTGCAAATTTTAGAATTTTTAGTCTTAAACATGTTTTGGCAGATTTCTAAAACATAATAGGTGGTGGTCTTATAAATTTGTTATGCGTGCGCGTGGTAGCGCTTGCATAGCAAACAAGGTAAAATCTTCAGTTATTTGCTATTGTGATTAGAGGTCATATCGCCCAACCCTCCATGACAGCTGGGATAACCCTAAACTCTTAGCCAGAATACTAAAGTAAATAAATCCTAACTAAAAAAGCTGTGTGGAAAAGAAAAAACCTAGACTTGGTTACATATGTGAACCAGCTTTTTGACCGATTCAAAGATCAACCATTAACAACTTCTACCCTACACTCAGCTTTGCCATGCAGCATTTCTGTGTATTGTATTCAGATGAAGTTAAATCTTTATATAAGGCGTTAATGCAGTGACAATCTAGATAACCAAATTACATCCAGACTCTGAAGAGCATGCATGAGAACTTTGTTAGTTTTTTGGAAGCCACATGAAACCGGCACACAAACAAAAACAAATGTATGTGCAAAAGTGCAGCCAGCAAGCAAGTCAGACAGATGGTAGGCTGCCTGTATTGTGCATGCTAACAAGCTTGAAGTACTGAAAGCACGAACTTGTTTATCAGAAAGGTTGGAAATCTTGCGGACGGGTAACAAGCAGGACCAGGTGCTCTCTGTCAGTTTAAGTTAACTATTTATAGTAGTAGTTTCTGCGATGAATCCCAGCTCCATGAATGACATATTCACCCATCTGCTCAAGTGGCTTCTGTCCACTAAAAAAGAAACCCGTGAGTGTTTCCACTTTGAAAGCACAAAAGAAGTCTATGTAAAAAGGTTGTAGGAGTGGCAGTGTCACACGTCAGTACAGCAAGTTCACCCATGACACTGGAGTTCAACCCTCATGTAATCATAGTTTCATATTATATTTTGAGTTAAGTTTTGTTTTTACGCTCACAATCCCATCAGTGACACTTTTTTGAAAATACGCCCACCTGCGGGGATGGCTTTTGTCATTTAAATAAAACCAGTCATTGTTTCCCCTTTGAAAGAACAACAATAGTTCACATCAGGACGTTATGGGACTGTTATACATGACTATAGGAGTGTTATACATCAATACAACAGTTTCACTCAGCAGAGTTAAACTCCCATGTTATCTTAGTTTCATATTATGTTTTGACCTTTGTTTTTACATGCCATTTACTTTCATTTTAATAGACCATTTCATTTTCACTTCGTCAATACACCCTCATTACAATGTTAAACACGTTTTAGAAAGCTCAGTTTTTTAGGTTAGAAGGTTTAAGATTTTAAAAGCAATTATTTACAAGGCCTCAAGAAGTCACCCGATCCCTCTGGGTTTTCTCTAGTAATTTCTTAGTGAGCGTAACAGCTGACCTGATCTAATTCTAAACCTTGCACCATTCGCATAAGGAACTCAATCCCCCAAATCAATCAACAATTAAGTTCATTTTAGTTGATTAATTAATACACATTTGTTTCCCATAATCTAACTCCAGCTAACATTCAAGTGTGTAAAAGTGAATGGTAATCTTTTCAAGGCATTAGAGACACCTGAATTTATGCCTCTGA